GCCCACCAAACCCTTCCAGTAATTTCTGTTGGTCATGGGAGAACTGTGTGCCAAGTTTGGTTCAATTCCACCGTTAATGGGGTTCAGAATGCTCTTTGATTGTAGGTGAACTATAAATCCCAGCAACTACCACTCCCAAATGTCAAGACTCTATTTTCCCCAAACTCCACCAGTGTTCAAATTTGGGCATATTGAGTATTTGTGCCAAGTTTGATCCCGATCCATCATTGTTTGAGTCCACAATGATCTCTGAATGTAGGTGAACTACAACTCCAAAACCAAAGGACACTGCCCACCAAACCCTTCCAGTAATTTCTGTTGGTCATGGGAGAAATGTGTGCCAAGCTTGGTTCAATTCCATCGTTGGTGGGGTTCAAAATGCTCTGTGATTGTAGCAGAACTATAAATCCCAGCAACTACAACTCCCAGATGATAATATCAATTTTTTTGAGTGAAGGACATACATTGGGTTGTTAGGTGTCTTGTGTCCAGAATTGGTGTCAATTCGTCCAGTGGTTTTTGAGTTCTGTTAATCCCACAAACTAACATTACATTTTTCATAGAATCCTAGAGTTGGAAGAGACCTCACGGGCCATCCAGTCCAACCCCCTGCCAAGAAGCAGGAATATTGCATTCAAATCACCCTTGACAGATGGCCATCCATTTTTATTTATATAGAAGTGTGGGTTTTTGTTTTTTTTTATTTGGGGGGGGGGATTTTTGCACTGCAAATAAGATATGTGCAGAGTGCATAGGAATTCATTCATTTTTTTTTTTCAAATTATAATCCGGCCCTCCAACAGTTTGCAGGACTGTGACCCGGCCCTCTGTTCAAAAAGTTTGGGGACCCCTGATCTTGGCCAAGAAACAAACCCATTTCCCTCCAATCAGAGGCCTTGCTGGGTCCCTCCTTGCTCACCTGCCTCCCGCCGGCCTGGGCCTCCCTTTCTGGGCCAGGAACGCCTCCAGGCGCCGCCTCCGATCCGCTGCGGAAGAGACCAAGGGCAGGTCAGGGCTCCAAGGCCCATCCTCCCCCGAAAACCAATGCAGGCGCTCTGCACATGCTCTGGAGCGCCCTCGCACTTACCTGCGGCGGCATCCTCCTCCGCAGAGCAGCCCCGCCCCGGCCTTGGCCTTCCTTTCGCTCTTTCTCTGTCGCTCCCTCCGAAGCGGAGGCTCCCAGGC